GTAGGGGGATATGGGAATTAGTCTCTCCACCCCTCAAAAAAAAGTAGGGCAACAGTTGGGAGTTTGGGAGTGGTTTAGAGCAGGGGACTGGAGCCACCTTGCTGCAGGTGGGGGTGGAATGGCTAGGATGCAGCTGCAGCTGACAGGTGAGAGAGGAAAGGCTGGGCCAGACAGAGGGTGGGTGAGAGTATGCGGGTTTGATGGGAGAAAGAAACATGAGGGGGCTAGAGGGGGCCCAGGGATGCTGAGGTTTCACCTGGGTTAGGGAGAGAAGGTGGGGACAGTGTTGCTTTGGTGGTAGAAGATTCTAGGCAGCCGGATCTACAGAGGAGAGAGAGCTGGGGATGGGTGGGAGAGCACTGGGGAGTGAGTAGGTCCAGAGAGAGGATCAGCACCATGGGGCCTCACCCTCCTGGGTCACGCGCTTGCCCCCAGCTGCACAACACCTGCAGTGCCATTGGTGGAACTCGGTGGAACTGCTTGCCTGGGACCAGCCACTTGGCAGGGAACATGTTAGGGATCCTCCTCATCCTCCCCAGTGGGGCTTCTCAGGGGTCCATGTGGCCCCCACCCCACTCCTGCCCTCCTCCCCAGCCCACAAAGGCTTCAGTCACACAGCCACCTTCTGAACAGGTGCCACTGGCCTCAGTCCTGACCCCTCCTCCTCCACCTGAGGACCTCCTAGCTAATTCAGGCTCCCAGGGGACCCCATCCTGGGAGTCTAACTCCAGACACCTGTCATCATGAAGCACCCATTTTGTACAGTGCTTGACAGTTAGAGGCCATGTTCAGCCCCTTCTTGTGGCCAAAGAGCAATGAACAGCAGCTGCCTGTCCCCACCAGGGACCAGGGACACGCCAACCAGGAGAGATGTCCAGGAAGCTGAGTCCTGCCCTCTGCTGCCTCAGTTCTTGGGGCTTTGGGTCCTGAGTCCCCTAGGGGCAGAACCCCAGGCCCTGCTTTTCCCTGACATGGTCCTGCACCTGCTGCTGAGCCCATGCTCTGCTCAGACTTGCCTGGTCTTGGCCACCGTGTCAGAGCCCCGCTCACATTTCCATCTTCTCCCCCTCGGTTCCACACTCTCCCTGGAACCCCAGGGACCTCCTTGGAGTCCTGGATATGCCTGGTGTTTTCCCACCTCAGTCCTGGCTCTGGAGAGCCCTCCTTAAGTCTTTACCTCTTCAGCTCCTCTCAGCCTTCAAGGTTCTGCCCAAACTCCTCCTCCAGGTAGGCTTCCCTGGTCTGCCCAGGGTGTGGGGGCTCCTCTGGGCTCCACAGACCATGTGTCCTTATCAGGGCTCAGCATGGCCAGAGCAGGGGCCCCACTGGGCCAGCTGTGGTGGAGGGTAGAGGGCTCTGGCTCGGGGTCAGTCTGGGTTTCCCCAAGAGCCTGGTGGGTCCCCAGAGTTCATAGCCCCAAGATTCTATCAGAAACACCCTTCTTCTCGTCTCCACCTGCGCAGCTGCTCTCCCCAGGGTGAGGCTCGGATGCCACCTCTACCCTGCCCCATCTGGTAGTGGGGCCAGTGCCTGCCCCTCCTTGTCAGTGTGTTCTACTGGCCTGCTGGTAGTCCCCTTCCCCACCCACAGCACCAAAGTGTGAAGGGTGTGCCTAGTAGGTCCTCCCAAACCTTTTTGAATCAAAGTGAGTCCCATGGACAAAGGAAGGAAGGAGGACTTGATCTATACAGTGGGCAGGCGTCTCTCCTTCCTGAACCCCCAGATGAGGTGAGGTGGGTTCTGGGGACCATCCGTTCCCTGTGGCATGTCTTGGGCAATGGTTCCTGGCTCCTGTGCCAGGCTGGGCTGGGCATGGTAGTCAGGTCAGGGCCCTAGGCCTTGGAAGAGAAGAAAGAGGGTATGGCTGTGCCCGCCCCAGAGGTGGGCGAGGTCTGCGGGTGGAGCTGGCCTCTGAGTCACTGGTCAGAGGTTCCCCTCTTGCCCTCACATGCAGAGGACCCCACTCACCTGGACAGTTCTGATGTTACAGGGGCACCTGCTAAATAGCCTGACAAGGTGACAAGGTGAGTAGTGTTGACAGGGACCCAGGCTTCTGCTCTCCCGTTGGAGCCGAGTCTTGGTGACCTGTGAGGAGTCACTTGCCTCTTCTCTTAGAGGACCAAGCCTTGTTTCGGGGCAGCAGGTGTCACTCCTACCAGGCTCAGCCCCCACCAGCCAGCTGGCACCTCTGGGCCCCAGGCCCCCACCTATGAATGGGGATGACAGTCTTGCTTTACAGAATGGGCAGGCTGGATAGGAGAGGACTTCACCCAAGCCCTGTCACTCATGGGCTCCCAACAGGGACATTCTGCTTTCCACCTGTAGTCTTCTCTAAGGGACTGTAAAGGCTGGGGAGTGCAGAAGGGGACTTGGGGCTGTGATTCAGATGTGTCCTCCATCCCCAATAACTCAAATCCCAGATGACTCAGCCAATGCTGGGAGCTGTGACCCCAGAGCCTTTTTTACAGATTCATGGGAAATTGTTCTCCTTGACTCATTCTTACTTATTTATGGCAGTACTGGTGTTTGAACTCAGGACCTTGCACTTGCTAGGCAGGTACTAAGCCATTTGAGTCATTCTCCCAGCTCTTTCTGCTTTAGTTATTTTTAAATAGGGTCCAGCATTTTGGCTGGACCAACCTCAGACTGCAATCCTCCTACCTATGGCCTCCCACTGGGTGTCCCCAGGGCGAATGGTGTTCTGCACTGCACATGCAACACGTTTTTCTTATCCACTCATCTCTGGGTGAATACTTGGGTTCACTCTATAACCCAGCAGTGGTTTACACACAGGGGTGTAGCGTCTTTTCAACACATTTTTTTTGCAAATTTTTTGGTAAATACCTAGAAGTGAGGTTGCTGGATCAAGGCTGGGTTTGAACCCAGGGCCTCATGCTTGCCCTGTGCTGTCATTTCCCCAAAGCCTTTCATTGTTTGTGTGAAACCAAAACTCGAGTGCTAATTGCATGCACATCGGGGACTGTTTTGCTTCCAGGCCCTTTCAGCACAGAGCTTAAAAATAGAAAGAATAATACATGCTCATATCTCTGTGCTTTTCTTTCTTCCTTTTTAAATTTTTTTTTTTTGAGACAGGGTCTTGCTATGTTGCTGTGCTGCCTTGAACCCCTGGGCGTCAGCAATTTATTCTCTTGCCTCAGCCTCCTGAGTGTACACCTTTCCTTATCTGTATCAACAAAAGCCCACGTTGGTACATTCTGTTCCCAGTCTGGTCTCACCCAGCCTCCTGCCCGTGTGAACTTGCAGCTGGCCTCTCCTCCAGTGTGGGCCCTGACACTTGTCCTTGGTATGTCTTCTCCGGGCTCCGTCCTGCAAGCCCCAGCTCTGCCTCCTACTGGTGAGCTCTCCTGTGCTCCTGGTTTAGCTTCATCTCTTTACCTGTAAGATGAGGCTGGCTACACTATCATATGAAATGACAGTCTAGGAGAAGATAGTCTCATGCCAGGTAGAAAGGCATTACCTGCACAGGTGTGTTAGCAATTTTTGGATGCCCCTGCCCCACACCTTTCCTGACCCTCTAACCTCCTGGTATCATGGGAAGGGGCCTCCAGTCTGCACCCTGAAGCAGAGTTCTATACCCCAGTCTGCTCCCTTCTGTCCTCAGGGTGGCCTGGGAACAGGTTCAAGTCCGGCCAGCCTGGGTTCGAGCCCTGCTCTGCTGTTTCTTTCTAGCTGTGTTTCCATTCCCAGGTGTGTTTAGCCCCTCAGATCATATTACCTGTTTTATTTTATTGTTTTAAGCATTGCTTCTTCCTCCCCCTTCTCTGCTTCTCTTGCCTTCAATTCCCCATAGGCATTTTTGTCTGTGAGCTTCTAGGTAGATAGCTATAGTATTTTTACAATACAGAGTAACATCTGGAGGGTGTTTTAAGAATGTTTGCATGAGCCAGGCGCTGGTGGCTCATACCTGTAATCCTAGTTACTTGGGAGGGTGCCCATCCTGGACAAAGTTCATGAGACCCTATCTGAAAAGACAAAAAAAAAGGGCTGGCCAATGGCTCAAATGGTAGAGTGCCTGACTAGCAAGCCTGAGTTCAAATCCCAGTACAGAAAATAAACAAATAAATAAATAAATAAATAAATAAAGCTTGCATGATTATCAGAGTGTCATTCTGCTTTTAGGGGTCATTTTCAAGACCGAGTGGTGTTTTGTGTTGAGTCACCCATCCCCCACCTGGCGGACTCTCCAGGTCCTTTCTCTGGGGTATTTTACTTCCATTCCTCCCACACGCCTTGGCATCCAGCAGAGGCATGTCCTGTCTGTGTGGATGCTTTGCTTCTCTGTAGTGGCTTCGTAAGGGTGACTGCCAAGAAAGCACTTAGTACATGGAGGGGAGCTGTATGGCAATGGGGCTGTCCCCTCCTGTTCCCTGCTCACTGTCCCCAGGGCTGGGCTGTTGATGGTATGATTGTGTTTGGAGTGTCCCCACATATTACACTGAAAGCCACTGGGGGTGGGAGGAATGGCGTGGGTGGTGGGGGCTGAACACCTCCGAGCACGGATCCCAGGCCTCCCAGGAGCAGCACAGCTGCAGTTAAATCCACTTTGACCCCAAAGGCTGTGGGTGTAGCCCTTCAGCTTCCTGTACAAAGCTGCTTCCCGGCTTCACCTGTTCCCCAGTTGAAATGATGGCTCACCACGTCTGCAAGGACAACCACAGGTCAGGGGAGGTTTTGTACCACGCCCCAGCTAGCCATGTCATCCAGAAATCTGGACCCAGGGTGGGCGTGTGGGGGCCGTGCCAGAATGTCCACAGCGTGCAGGTGCTTCTGGGGTGCAGCTGGTGCCCACCTGGCCTGGGGGCGATTGCAGTATGGAACCTGATTTGCTGGGTCTGGGGCTGACAGCTTGGGGCGGGGCACAGGCACCACACAGAGGCGCCTGTCCTGGCCTCCTTTCCCACCAGGGCGTGATCCTTCTCAGTCTAGCCCTGAATTCAGGCCAGAGTCTCCACAGATCCCAATCCCCTGCCCCACCTGCTATGGGCTTCTTGGAGAACGAGGGCAGCTGGAGCTTGTCCTTCGCTGGCTCAGGCTATTTGGGACTCTACCATGTGGGCGTGACCCAATGCCTGCACCAGCGCGCCCCGCACCTCCTCAAGGGCGCCCGCCGCATCTATGGTTCCTCGTCTGGTGTACTCAATGCTGTCAGCATCATCTGTGGCATGTCAACTGGTGAGTGCTGGGGAGGCCAGGACCCCTTGCTTCCATGGCACCCAGGAGGGAGGCTGGCAGTGAGGGGAGAGTGGGCACTCCTGGTGGCTGAGGGTGCTCCTCCCCGTGGTCCAGACTACTGCTGCTCCAGCCTCCTGGGCTTGGTCAAGCAGCTGCAGCAGCTGAGCCTGGGCATCCTGCATCCGGCCTACGCACCCATCGAGTACATCAAACAGCAGCTGAAGGACGCCCTGCCCAGCAATGGCCACATTCTGGCCACCCAGCGCCTGGGCATCTCACTGACCCACTGGCCTGATGGTCGCAACTACATAGTCACTGACTTCGCCACTCGAGATGAGCTCATTCAGGTGAGCAGGTGCTGGGCCCAGATTTGGGGTAAATGACAAATTAACTCCATCCAGCCCCAGAGCGACTCAGGGCCCTCCCAAGGCAGGCTCATCTGTGTGAGCCAGCAAGGGTGCTGGGAGAAGAAACTGAGCTCCAGGTCTGTTTATAACCAAGGAGACAGGTGTCAGGGAGGGACAGTCAGGTGAGTGGGCGTGGAGACATCCTTGGGATGCACTGAGAGGCAGGCTCAGGCCCCTCCAGGGTTTCTCTTTCTAGGTGTCTGCTCAGACCCACTGCACCTTCCAGGTGCTTTGTGATTCAGTGAGGAAACATTTATTGAGCAGTATTATCTGGGCATTGGAACAGACAAAAATCCTTGGCTGGAGGTGGTGGTGCATGCCTGTAATCCCAGCTACTCAGGAGGTGGAAGTAGAAGTATTGAGGTTCCAGGCTGACCCAGGCAAAGTTCGTGAGACCCTATCAGAAAAGCAAACTAAAACAAAAAAGGACTGGGGGTATGGCTCAAGTGGTAGAGTGCTTGAGGCAGGAGGCCCTCAGTTCAATCCCCCTACCACCTAAACCTCCCCTTCAAAAAACAAAAGGTCCTTACCTTCTTGGGGCTTCTATCTGATGCAGGTGGCAGAGATAATGAACACATTTCCAAGTATTGAAATAAAATGGGAGGACAAGAGAGAGAGGGAGGCCACAGGTGCAAGCTGTGGGGATGGCCGGAGGGCTGAGCCATGGGGGGAGAGGAGCGTAGACAGGTGCGGGGTGGGGTCCCATGTTGCCTCAGCTGGGGGTGGCATCCTGGACTCCCCACTGCAGTTCACCCCTCCTCTCATGCTCTTCATCTGTCCCCCACACCGAGGTCCCCAAGGTAGAGTCAGCCTATCTTGATGCCTCAGCACCCAGCACGGGGATTGTCTCAGAATCCGCAGTGGCCACAACGTGGTTGTTCGATTATTGGTGTGTGGGGAGGGGCTTGTCACTTGCTGTGGGCTCCTGAGGAGGCCAGCTGGGACCCTGAAGTCTGTCCGGGCGTCCCCACATGGATGGCACATTGCAGGTGCTCAGTCACCGTGATTAACACGGGGAAGGAGTCTCTGTTCTGCATTTCCAGCCAGTCCCAGCCAGAGCAGAGTCCCCTCTCCCAGAAAGTGGCAGGGGACATTTCTTAGGGTTCTATCAGGCATGTCTGTGTCTGACAGGTTTGACTGCTTAGGTCAGTTCTTCCTGATCGGGAGTGATTTTTGCTTCCTATGGGGGGATATTTGGCAATCAGAGATATTTTTGGTTGTCACAACTGTGTGTGTGTGTGTGTGTGTGTGTGTGAAAGAGAGAGAGAAGGAGGAGAGGTAGAGGGAGTGGGAGGGAAACAGCAGGTAAAGATGAGGGATGTCACTAAACACCTTGCAATTCAAGGACAGCACACACATGCCCAACAGAGAAATATCCATCCCCAAATGTCGATAGTATCAGAGTCTATTATTAATCAGCTTTTCCACAGCAGGACTTGTCAGTGCCTTTACTGGGAAGAGTAGATGTCATTTTCCAGGTGGATAGAGGAGCTAGGATTTTTGGTTTGAGTGTATCTGGTTGGTGGAGCATTCCTGCGAGATGGGTGATGGAGGAATGGCACTCGGTGCCTCTGTTTGTCTTTGATGGAGGGGGAGCAGTAGTCCCCAGATACAGGGTGCCCTCAGCAGAGAGGACAGAGGGTGTGGAGGGGCCTGCATTCTTTCCTTCCTCGCTCCAGAGCTTGGCTGGGTGAGTGCTCACAGGACTGGTGTCGCCTCTGAGGGGAACAGCTCTGAGCATGAGAGAAGTCGATTGCCCTCCTCTGCCCGCTCTTGTCTTTCAGGCCTTGGTCTGCAGCCTGTACTTACCGTTCTACTGTGGGGTAATTCCCCCCGAGTTCAGAGGGGAGGTGAGTGTGTGGGGTGGCCCCACGTCCTTGCCCCACCTGGGCTCTAGGTGGCTCGGGGACATGTCCAGAGCTGTGGGTAGAGGAAGCTGTGCTCTGTGAGCACCTGTGTGTGCCAGATCTCCTCTGCTGCAGGAGTCTCAGGACCCTGGACTTAAAGGGCACAGTGGCACAGGGTGGGGGCTGGGCAGTGAGAGGGTCACTGTCTGCAGCCCAGTCTGGGACTGGGGAAGGACGGGTAACCCCACGGGCAGCACAGCCCACCTGCCCTCCTGAATTACAGCGCTACATCGATGGGGCTCTGAGCAATAACTTGCCCTTTGCGGACTGCCCCTCTACCATCACCGTCTCGCCCTTCCCGGGGACAGTAGACATTTGTCCCCAGAGCAGTTCGGCCAGCCTGCACGAGCTCAGTGTCTTCAACACCAACTTCCAAATCTCCACCATGAACTTATTCCGGGGCTTCATGTCCATCGTACCCCCCAAACCCGAGGTAGGTGCAGTCCCTCAGGACGTTAGAGACTGGACCTGGCCGTGTCCCATGCTTCAAGCTCCATGCCTGTGACCACTCCCCACAGCCTCCCTCCTGACCTCGAGGCAGTCCTGGGATCCAAAGACCAGCTGGGGTTGTGTTCTTGCTCTTCCTCCCCTCCTCCTCTGGAGCCAGGGCTGAGTCAGACCCCACCTCACACCAGGGGAAGGCCCTGATGTCACCGCGGCTGAGCTGGAGCTGGAGCCAGGCCTTGGCTCCACTGTAAGCAAGGGCTGTAATCATCTGCGGTACTCATTTCTTGCAGAAGTTCAGACAAGTAAAATGACTGTTCAAAGTCACACAGCGTGGGAGTGGCAAAGCCAGGACTCAGCCCTCAGCCAGTCTAGACCCGTGCTCTACACTGTGGCTAAGTTGTCCATCAGTTGTAGAGGCAAGGTACAGGCCACACAAAAACAGACAGCCAAACCTACATCTCCTGCTTTTTGTCCCTTGGAGTTTTAGGAAAATGGATAATTTGGCAATGCACAGGAGCCCCTTCCACCCACACCCAGCTCTTGGTCTCCATGTATCCCTGGGCTGGGCAGAAACTCTCTGTCCCTTCAGGAGGTGGAGACTGGGAGGATTGCGGTTCCCCTCCTCCCTCTCAATCTGTAAGTGGGGCATGGTGGCCTGTGGCTGTAATCCCAGCTCCAGGGGAGTCATAGGTAGGAAGATCTCAGCTTGAGGCCAGCCCCAGGCAAAAACGTGAGACCCCATCTGAAAAATAAATAAAGCAAAAAAAGGGCTGGAGGTGTGGCTCAAGTGGTTATAACTGCCTGCTTAGCAAGTATGAGGCCCTGAGTTCAAAACTCCAATACCACCAAAAAAAAAAAAAAGAAAGAAAGAAAGAAAGAAACTCTCAGCCCTGTTGTACAGATGAGGATATCAAGGCTCTCAGGTGGCATTGTCATGCTGAGGTCACACAGCAGGGGTGGCAGAGCTCCTTGTGCTCCTTCCTCAGCCTGCAGGCCCCTCTTCCCTCCAGTGGGCTCTGATTGGGCAGCGTGAGCTCCTGGCTCCTCTGCCCCCTACCCCGCAAGACTGGTCCTGGTGTTGAACCCCAGGCAGTCATTGGAAGCAGCCTCCACACACCTGCAAGGAGCCAGGTGAAGGCCAGCCATCTAGGGCCAGGCCTTGTTGCGCCATTTTTCCGGAGGCGTGTGCAGAGGCCATGGAGGGCAGGCCAGAGCCAGGGCTGAGATCCAGGTCAGAAGTGAGGGGATGCCTGGAGCAGATCTGTGGGCTTCTCTGCCTGGAGAAGGCCAGTGGCCACCAGCCCCAAGAGAGGCCCAGGTCCTGCTGTCCATCCTGCTCTGTGTGTTGGTAGGTGGTGGCTGACAACTGCAGACAAGGCTACCTGGATGCTCTGAGATTCCTGGAGACCCGTGGTAGGTGGCAGGGTACAGTGGCTGGGGATGATAGCTGGGCAGCAGGTAGACCCTGCCTCTGGGCTTGAACCTCCAGGGATCTGGGCTCACTCCATCTGAGCAGCTTCTTGGTGCTTGGCCCGAGCTCCATGCTGGGGACCAGAGAGAAGTCACACATAGATCCCACTCTGGAGCTGCCTGGTGCAGGATGATAGTAACAGGCACAGAGACAGACAACACAGGTACAGAGTGCAGTGACATGACAGAGGGACACTCAAGGCTGGGGGACTCCAGAGAAGGTGAGAGAGGAGGGCTTCCTGGAGGCTGTGTTGGGAAGCTGCAAAGATGGAAAGGAAGAGGTGGGATGCAGGGGCAAGGCTACTCTGAGGGCACAATAGTGAGCACACAGGAGGTGCTCGTAGGGCGACCTGGGCTGGAGAGCTCAGATGTCACCCACAGGCCATGCACTTCACAGTGGCAGGGTTGAGGGGTGAATCTGGATTGCTTGCTTGCTCCAGGATGCATGGCCCTGATCCTAGTGCTCCACCCCAATACACAGCCACGGGAGACGTGCCAAGCACAGCGCATGCCCAGGCCTGGGCTGACAGATGTTACATCTGTATGGCCTTTAATTCTCAGCTATGCAACAGGCCTTCACTTCCATCTTACAGAAAGGGAAATTGAGGCAGGAGGAGTCAGATGACACACCTCTGAAGTAGGAGAGCCAGAGTTTAAACACCGACCAGTGTCTCCTGGGTCCGGGCTCTGATGACCCACTGGAGATCAGGCAGGAATGGTGCAGAGGGGACCTGGAGGGCAGGCAGGGGCTTCTGGGTGGTGCCGGGGTCCCAGAGTTGGCGCACACACTGGGGCATGTGGATGGCGCAGAGAGCTGGGAGTCACTTTCCCAGGGGCAGCTTGGACGTGCTAATTGTCATCCCCTCTCCCTCCCTGCACTCAGGACTCACCAAGGAGCCTGTGCTGTGGACGTTAGTATCTAAGGAGCCTCCAGCCCCAGAGAGGGGACCAAGGGTGCTGGCCAGGACCGAGGTCAGCAGGCTGCCCTGTCTATCAGCTGGGACGTGCCCCACGTGCTGGTCAAGGACGTGCCTGACTTCGAGCAGCTGGCACCGGAGCTGGAAGCTGGTACTGTGCCTTCCCCGGTCATGCACTCAGGGCTTGGAGCCAGGGGCCCATCCACTGGAGCCAGGACTCATTTGTGGGCACTGACTGAGTGCCGAGGGGACATGGGATTTTTACTTGTGACCATTCGTCCCTCCCCACAGTCCCGGGCCTCTGTGTGATCCTCACCCCCTGGCACTGATGAGGAACTGAGGCTTAGAGACAGAAAGGGAATCAGCAGGTATCTGCCTGCAATCGGGGGGATTAGAACCCATGTTCTGAGAGGGTCAGGTCTGTGCCCACTGCCCATCGAGGGTGAGAGGTGCTGAGAGATGCAGGAGAGGTGTCGGGAGTGTCCTGGACTCCCCAGGAGGGATGGACTCATTGTGTTCTCCTGTGATGGGATGAGGTAGACTTTTTCCCTTTGGGTAGATGACATAAACATAGCCTCATTTGGGACTTGCCTAGAGCTACACAGCTAGCAAATGGCAGAACCAGGCTCTGCCCTATCTGCCCTAACAGTTTCCTCTGCTCTCTTGCTGTGTCACTGTCATGATTGATCACAACAGGAGAGAAGGTCCTACAGGCACATGTGAGGGTAGTGGTGATGAGTTTGAGTAGCACCTGAGGTAAAGAGGGGGGAAGATAAACGTGTGGGCAGAAGGCACAGCATGTACAAAGGTCCTGAGGCTGTGGAGGGAGAGCTGGGAGGCCCTTGTGGTGCAGCATGGTGGTCTTGGGACACAGAAGGGATGAACATGGGGAGGCTGGGAGGGCCAGGAGTTGACCTTGAAAGCTGCTGGAGGAGAGGTGGTGAACCACACAGGAGTCTAGTTGGACCTTGCTGGGAGGGGAGAGGCAGAAGAGGTGGGAGTTGGTGACGGTGTTCAAGGAGTCTAGGGCTGAAATGGTGCTCTGTCTGTGCTGAGCCCCAGGTCCAAGCTTGGGAATCTGGAACCCAAACATTTTCCCTGCAGCCACGTGGGGGAGCCAGAGAGCCAGCCACCCAGTTAACTGTGGCAGGCTGGGGAGGGGATCCCAGGTTTCCTACCTCCCCTCTCCCTGACCTGCTGCCCAGGGAGCAAGGTCTTGTCTGTCCCCCTCTACCTGGGAGGCAAAGGAACCTGTCCTAGATGGAGTCAGCTCTTGGGACTCAGTCTGTGAATCTAAAATTCTGTCTCTGGTAGGCTCTAGCTAGATCCCAGACTCATGGCTGAGCAGTGCCTGCGCGCCAGTGTGCAGATCAGGTTTGGGCTCTGGCTGTGCTCCAGCCTGCATGCTGGTCACCCCTGCTCTGGCCACTCAGTGACCAGGGGGTTTGGGAACTGGGTGCTGTGGTCACAGCTTCTCTGTGGCTGCTCAGACCAATGTGTTACTATTATTGAAAGAGGGGTGGGAGGCACCTGCCACCCACCAGTGGCTGCCGGATGGGAGCCTGGCAGGCCTTGAGGTCATCCTGGCCCTGCCACTTATTGCTGATGCTGTGGGCAAGTCCCTTCTCCACTCTGGATCTCCGTGTCCTTTTCCACGAAGGGGCACAGCTTGCTCTTCTCAGTATGCTGGTTGACAGCAGGTGTGGCCAGGGTTTGGTCAGTGTTCTTCCTCCTCTGCAGAAGGTGTGAGGCTCAGGAAGGCTGGCTGGGGGTCGAGGTTGGCAGCCCATGCATGCCACAAACTTCTCTTGCAGGGTTGAAGAAAGCCTGCAGGAGGGACCAAGGGCCCTGGACCCGCTTCCGGTGCTCGGTGCCTGGGCGGGCGCTGACATACCTGATGCTTCCCTGCACTCTGCCCTTTGAGTACATCTACTTCCGGAGCAGAAGGTAAGGCTAAGCAGCTGCAGGGCCTGGAATGTGACCAGGTTACAGGCAGATGGTCTGTGCCCATGGTGGGAAGGGCAGGGGCTACTCTCCCCATACCACCTGGTGTCTGCTGTCTGACGCACGGCCTTGGTGCTTTCTGCCAAACAGGGTCAGTGGGGAGTAGGAAGCCTGGTGTTATTGGGGTCCCCAGGTTAGCACCCGGGGCCTGCCCTATTCCCTGACTTTTGGCCCATGGCTCCACTCACCAGAGCCTCAGAGACAATGTGCCATTTCTAGGGTAAGGTAACTATTCCTGGTCTGGCTCAATTAGCAGGGTGGCCTGGGCCAGCTCTCTTGACCTCTCTGGGGTTCAGGGGTCTTTTCCTCTAAGCAGGGCCCTCCCAGGTCAGTCTGGCTGTGGCTAAGCCTGTCCCAGTGCCCTAACTTGCTGGTCAATGGCCATTTGGCCTCACTTCCTCACTCACCTCACTCACTCACTCCAGCACTAGTTATTGAGGGTGACCAGGGGCCACACCATGTCTGGGGATGAGGAAGGCAGAGTTACCTGGACGGGTTCCCGGCCTCATGGGTCCCACAGCCCACAGCCGTCACATGGTCACCTGTGCAATCTCAGCTCCTCCCGGAGACACCTAAGAGAGGCAAATGCTGGCCTCGAGCCGACACAGCCATGTGCAAGGCCAAGTGGCCAGGGACATGAGCCCAGAGCAGATGACATCTGAACAATCATTGCACAAAGATGGAGCAACGTGTGCAACGATCCTCAGGCAGAAGGGAGGTCAGTGGAGCTGCAGCAAACAGCTGGCATGCTACATAAGATGGAATCAGACCTGGCAGGGGCCAGGCACAGGAATGTGTAACCAGTGTCCTATTTATTCTGAGAGTGGTGTAACAGAGTGAAGCGTTCAAGCAGGGAGAAATGTATTTTTAAAAATTCTTAATTTTTAAAAATACCTGTAGGTGAGCTACAGGACTGTCCTTTTCCACGTTGAGTAATGACTACGCCAGTCCTGCTGTCTAAGTGGCCAGTGACCCTGCGCAGGAGCGCTTTCTACCGAGGGTTCTCCTCACACTGAACTGCTTACTGAAATAAAAAAAAAATAGAACAAAAAGAAGGTCTTGCCTTCTTAGTAAAAAAAGAAAAAAAAAAACCGACTGCATGGGCACAAGTGGAGAGTTTGCCCAGAGCACAGGGAATTCACCCTTGGTGTGCTCCATGCATTCAGCTGGGAGGTTGCATTAACAGGCCAGGACAAGGGAAGTGACGGTCCAGACTACATGTTGCTTTGTCACGTTACCGCTCTGTGCTGTGAACCCAGTTTGGGCCCCTGGTGTAGAGATGACTCCCCGGGGTCGTGTGGCACAGGGGGAGCCCTGCAGTGTCCAGCGAGCCTGAGGAGGTGCCCAGCCCTCAGCTGTCCCTGTGAGGTGGTGGTTCTGCAGGTTCTGGCACTCTTCTGTCTTGGGGCCAGACGTAGCTCTGAGCTTCCCAGGCTCTGTCACGACAGCAGCAGAAGCCACAGACACTTTGAAAAGGAGAGGGGCTATGATCAGAGGATGTTTGGGGAGGATCTCTGGCTTCTGAGAGGAGTGTGGAGAAAGGCCTGAGGCAGGGAAAAGACAGAGTGAGGGAGAGAGGGAGGGAGAAAGAGAGAGAGGGTTAGGAACTATAGGTGGTCTTCATTTGGTAAGGGAGAAAATGAGGCTCAGAGAGGTTGCCTGACCCTCCCAGGTCACACAGCCAATGAACAGGAATTTTGGGTGTTCCCCAAGCCAGCTTGACCCCCATGGTCCTGTCCTCCACCCCTGACCTTTCCCTGAGCTCTATGAAGTCTACAACCTCCAGGCTGCTGTCCACCAAGTTCATGGTCTGTCTGTATCATCTACCACCGAGAAACCTGTGGCCCTGCCCTGCTCTACAATAGTGGCCACCAGCATGGGGCGCTTTTCACCCCACTGCCATTGCCATGGGCCTGGTGCCCTGAGTGTAGGGATCCCAGCTCTGTTCCGGGCTGTGGGGAGGGGGCCTGGACGGTTGACCCTGGGGCCCCCTGGGAGCTGATGTGGTTCCTTCCGGCAGGCTGGTGGTATGGCTGCCTGAAGTGCCAGCCGACCTGTGCTGGATGCAGGGTTTGCTGAAGGACGTGACCCTGGAGCTCTACACCAGGGTGCGAGACCAGCTCCTCAGGCCGGGCAGGTGAGGTGGAGAGGTGGATGGGAGAGCTTTCAAGGGGTGTGTGGGGGGGCACCAGCTGTCTCCTAGGACCTGGGCAGGTAGCACCTGCCACCCGCCACCTGCTTATCCATGTTCCTCTGTCCACCAACCAAGGAAGCCCCCTCATGTGTGTGGTCATCACGGTGTGCCATACCTGTGCTGGCTGCTCCTGGCCAATGGCATTGGTCAGTCTAGATAGCTAGGGCAGCATCTATGGCCTGCACAGGACAAGCAGATCTCTCTCCTGTGCTATTCCTGCTGACATTGCAGATGTCCCTGAGGCCTCATGTGAGGCTGGCCCTGGGTGGGGCTTCCCAGCCAGCTTCCCTTCAGGAGTCCCTTTCCTCCCCCACAGCCCTCCTGGGGACAACCCTGGAGCCTCAGCCCTGCTGGGGGCCTGGGTTCTTCCTCAGAGAGGGCTGAGGATAGGAGTGGCTCAGGCTCCCTGTGCAAGGGATCTTCCTGCCTGTCACCCAACCCAGCCCCTGAAACTGACTGTATTTCCTGCTCCCTCCATAGCCTCCTTGTCCCCAGCATCATGGACTCAGATCCCCTCCAGCCTGGGGCAGCCGCTCCTGTGGACCTGGCCATGGAGTTTGGGACAACCCACCAGGCCTGCGGGGCACCAGGCAGAGCCAAACCAGTGACAGGTCTCTCTTGACCTGTCCTGGCCAAGTCTTATATGCCCTTATCTGCTCTGGCTGTGGACTCAGGTGAGCGGCCTGCATCTGACTAGTCCCCTGAAAGCTTGGAACCTGGTCTGGAATTGGTGACTGGATGGAGACTCACCTGCTCCCTGAGTCTCCTCCTAGCCATGTGGGTAGGAGGCTCCCTGGGGTGCAAAGTTCCCACCTGTCCTCTAAGTACCCCTGCTGGGAATCTGTCCTGGGGCCTGGCCTGTTGAGCTGTCCCCACATTACTCTATGCCCTAGTCAACTGCCCTCCTTCCTTTCCCATCTCATCATGGGAGAGAGGAAGGCAGGAGCCAAGACCCAGGTCTCAGTTCTGAACCTCCACATGGGGGACATAAAGGATACCTGGCCTTGAGCAGAGGCTTTGTGTGGTCACAAGCTGTTTGCAGAGTACTTCATGAAAGCTGGGGCCAACGCTCAGTGTCCATATGAGGGGGACAAATGGAATGACAGGGGCTTTCCTCACATCCTCTCTGGCATTCTCTGTCCTGCACTAGACCAGCAGGGGACAGTTAACCCATGACCACCTCACCCGGGAAACCTTGATCTCTGTACATTGGGCCCACCAGTGGGCACCCTGCAGGAGATGGAAGAAGTGGGGTGAAGGGGTGGGCAAAGTTTAATCTCTTGAGGGATCCCAATTGCAAGCATTTCTGTAGGGCCCAGAAGCAGCTGCTACTGCAGCCGCCCTTCGCCTGTTGATTTCTGACGGCGCAGAGCCGGCACCCTCCCCAGTGCTCTCCAGCAGAGAGGATGCATGCTGGGCTTTGGCCTCTCCTGGGATTCCTGCTCTTTCTGTGCCCAGCAGAAGAGACACTGTTCCCTCTGGCCAGGCTTTAGGGGACAATGAGCTCAAGTGGGGATGGGAAGAGTGGAGGAATGGAGGTACAAGTGGGAGAAGAAGGGACAAAGGAATAAATATATGGACAAGAGATGAGTCACTCATTCATTCATTCATGCATTCGGCTGTTGGGGACATAGCTGGTGGGTGTGTGTGGGGGGGCAGATGCTGGGAGAGACAGAGATGAAAGACCATCCCAGGAATGATCTGTTGGGAAGACAGCACAGCAATTAGAAGGATGACAGATCAGGGAGCAAGGCCACCATTAAGCTAGACCTGAGAAGAGATCCAGAGTTTTCTAGGAAGCAGCACCAGCAGGTGTGAAGCCGGAGCAATGAGAATGCAGTGGACGTGTGAAGGATGGGTTATGCTGCGAGTCAGAGGCAGGGGGTGGCAGGGTCGGGAACACAGAGAATGAATTTGGATTTGGGCAGAGGAACCAAGAAGTGAATGAGCCAAGAAAGTCTGGGGATGGGGTGGGGAGTGGGGGGTGACAAAGGGCCAGGAGGAAACACTCCCTCTCCCATCTTAGGCACCCACTGGGCTGAGCTGGCTTTAGCCTGCTTGCTGTTTCCTGGGTGGGGCAGGGGTAGACACAGCCCTGGGTCAAGAAGGCTCTGGCCCACATTGAGTCAGCCCAGCGGCCCTATCTGTCTGTCCTGAGCTGGGATGCTCTGCGCTGTCCCCACTCCCTGGTGCTGGATGTGGGGTCTCTTCCTTTAAGGGAGAGAGAAGGCTTGATCACCTGGGGCTCCAGGCTGGATGTCTAGAGTGTCAGGAGGCTTTGAGGATATTCTTGCCCCTCCCCTTTGTCCCCTACTACAGACCCATGCCCGTGGACACTCAGCCTCCCTCTGCCACCCCTTCCCATGTCAGCTCTTTATTCAGTGGGGGACTGACCTATGCCACCTTTGTTGCCATTGCTGTGTTTTGTGCCTTAGGCAGGGAGCCAGCCAGCCAGCCACCCCCACCTCCCTCTCCATCTGCCATCTTGGCCAAGCAGCTGCTGCCAGTGTGTCTGGCTTGCTCAGTCAAATGTCTGCTATCACACTGCTCTGAAAACGCCTCTGAACCTTATCATTTACTGCCCAGGTGGAGGACATGTACCGCACAGGCCATTCACACATTCATGGCTTAAAAGCGTTTTCTTGGTTTCTATCTTATCTAACTCTCAGGCACCTTGGCATGGGTGCCCTGTGGCTTTCCCTACTGACTCTAACTCCAACCCTGGGCCTGCAGACCCTGCCTGCTCCCTCTTCTGGGAATGGCCTGGTGGGGACATCTGGCCCCTGAGGTTGCCCTTCTGTATGGTGACCACTCCTTGGGGACAGCCCCAGCCCAGGCGTGTAAGTAACTTTTCATCACTGAGAAAGCAACCGAAAGGAGGAAGGATGAATTTTGGATCACGGGTTCAGGGGTTTCAGTTCATGCGTGGCTGGCTCCACTGCTGTGGGTCCGAGGCAAGGCGGAACCTCATGGCAGGGAGGTGGTAACCGGGAAATAGAGAGCGGATGCCTGGGTTCTCGGGCTTCCTCCTTCTTCACCTTTGTTCCATCCCGGCCCCAGCCTGTTTGATGGTGCCATTCACACTCAGAAAAGATTTGCCCATCACCTCTGCAAATGCCCTCACAGACACCCAGAAGTGTGTTTTACTAATCCTGTAGGCATCCTTTAATTCAATCAAGTCGACAATCAAGTAACCATCACACCAGAGAGGGATGCTACTGTGTCAGCCCCAGTCCCTCACCTAGTTGGTCCACATCCCTCTGGGAGCAAGGGGTCCAGTAGTGCTCCGGTATGATATACCAGCACTGGGCCTAAATCATCTTTCACCTCCTACCTGCCCTGCCCACGGCCTCTATTAATGTAGTCTCAGAGGGAAGGAGCTTGACCCAACCTCCTCTGTGGATCTCACTGAGCCACCATCTGCCCACACGACTGTGCCCTTCCTTGAGCCTAAAGATGGCCCAAATGACAGCCCCAGGGCTGATCTGGGTTAGGGGTTCCTGACCTGTTATCTATGGAGCCTGCTGACACAGAGCCCTGAGATGTCACAGAGCGGAGGAGGGTCTCGTGTTCTGAATTCAGCTGACACAAGCTTGAGTTCCATCTCTACAACTCAGCATCGATGTGACCCAGGGAAACCCTTCACTGCTAAGAGCCTCAGTTTCCCCCTGTATAAGATGGAGATGATATGATACACCTCATGGAATACTTACTTGAGAAAAGTTAAATGCTTCTAATAGACCACATGAAATGATGGGGTGACTGCTCAGTGAGGGTGTAGGTTGGGAAGCGCGTAACTGAAACATGCCATGTGTTCAGCACCAGGCGAGAGCATTGACATTGGGTTTATTCTGAGCTGCACATCAGCCTCTGGTGGGGGAGTCCAGACAAACCACAGGGGAGCTGTGACTAGGGCCCAGATCTGTGTGGTGCCCGAGCACTCTTGGTCTCTGAGCCATGGCTTCCTCTGTGCTCACATCATACATCTACCCACCTTCTCTTTCTCCCAGTGTCTCAGCCAGGATCCTCGCTAGAGACTGGAGTCTTAGAGAAACTGTGGCTCCCAATCACAGGTCACATTCCTGGGCTGAGTGTCAAAGAAGGAAGCTCCTCTGATGGGTGTTTTCCAACCCATGAGGCAGATCCCTGTCCTAAGGAGCTCCTGTGCCCCTTTGCTGTCTCCTTGGAGGTGACAGGGAATTTAATCCTTGCAAGCACACACACCAATCTACAAAGCCCATTCCACTGAATTCTCACAGCATTCCTGAGAGGCTTATTCTCCCATTTCACAGGTGACATGCAGGGGAAGTGGCCAGGCTAGAAATACCCAAGTCTGTTCTCCAGGCAACAAAAATACCCCCAGACCAGCACAGCTTCATCATGTACGTGCTCTATGGCACTGAGCATGCCACTGCCTTGATCAGCTCCTGGTTTCTTTGTCTTTAATATCAGAGGGTGGACTAGCTGCTTCCTTGGGGGGCGCTTGGCCCATAGCACATCCAATCAATAGCACTGGTCAGGGTGGAAGCCATCCGGGATGGGATTAATCACATGGGAACTGGTTTCTGACCTGGGTCTTTATGGATGCTAGGATTGGGTTGGCAGGGGCGACCATGGCTCTAGCACTTACGTGTTGACTGCATTAGGTATCCTCCTCTGAACTTTGCCTCCCAACCATAAATCTGATTGTGTACACTGACTGCATGTTTGGTAATGTTAGGAAACTATCAGTACATTTTAGGCGTGTCAGTGTTTTAGGGATATGTTTTCAGAGTTCTTATCTCTTAGAGGTTCATACTGGTATTTATGAGTGAAATGATATAATATAATACATAGATAGCATTTGTTTCAGAATAATCCACCTGTGTATGGGGTGGAAGGGATACAATACAAACTGAGAACAGTTGACGCTGGGTGGTGGATGAAGTAACCTCGTTACACCATCTCTCGAATTTTGTACGTTTGACATCATGATTACCAACAAGTATTTAACCTTAAAACTTTAACAGTACACAAATAGGAAAATACACTTCAAGAGAATATAAACAAAGCAAAGCAGGCTCACTGGGAGCTGTGGGTGCCCAGAGCGTCAGTGGCTAAAGCAGCAGGCTGTGCTAGGGCGTGTGTTCAGCACCAGGGACAGCGGCCCATGCGTCTGCCACCTCAGCAGCCCTGGGGACGTCAAGAGGGACTTGTAGGCGTCAGGACAGAGGCCCGCTAGACACTTCTTACACACCTCCAGGGATGGGGTGCTCACTACGCAAAGGACATCCGAAACCAACTGCGAACCGGGACACATACGTATGTCTGTGCTTTTAGGTTTTCTCTGATTTCTGTCATTCGTGTTTTGTAGCTTTTGGTGTGCGCATCTGCACGTGGTTTCTTAAATGTAACGTTTTTCAAACTATTGCAAATGATAATCAAAAGTGAAAATTTCCAGTTGTTCGTTTCTAGAACACATAAATATAATAATAAAATAATAATAATAATTGGTATTATTTGTTGATGTTTTGAAGCAGGATCTCACTATGTCTGAGATGGCCTGTGTTGGCTTGGAACTTGCTGTGTAGCCCAGGCTGGCCTTGAATTCACTAGCCTCCTGCCTCAGCCTCCTGAGTAGTGGGATTACAGGTCTGTGCCACCACGCCCAGTTTTAGAATTAATTTGTTTGTTGGCCTTGTATTTTACAACCTTGCTAAATTCACTTGTTAATTCCAGCAGCTTTTTTGCAGATTCCCAAGGAGTTTCTATGTTGATAGAGGCTTTTCTTTAAGCTTTATTCTGGTAAATTTAAACTTATTAAAATGCTTTCTACCACTGTGGTAGGCAGGATAACAGCCCTCTAGAGAGGTCCACAGTCTAGCCCCCAGAACCTGTGGATATGTTACGTTACCTGCCAAAGGGAAATTAAGGGGGCGGGTGGAATTAAAGTAGCTTCCTCTCCCCTACAATAGGGAGATTATTGATGTGATGGGAGTGTCCTCAAAAGTGGGGGAGTGAGGCAGAGGCAGAGTGACATGACCTGAGATACACTGGCCACTGCTGGCTTTAATATGGAAAGGGACCCCAAGCCAAGGAATGCAGGCAGCCCCTAGAAAGAGCCAAAGAAACAGAAATGCTGGAAGGAGCAAGGTGACAGAGTCTCTTCTGGAGCCTCCATTAAGGAATGCAGCCTTACTACCACCTTCATTTTCCTCTAGTGATCCTTGCATCAGACTTCTGATCTGCAGGATTGAGTTTCTGGCCATTTGTCATGGCCGCCCAATGGTCATGTATCATCCCCTATACTCACCAGTTGTGGCTTTGCCACACAGTCGTTCTCTCACTGTGCATACATAGAAACATGCATTTGCAATACTGTCAAACTTGTGTGTTCTTTTGGTAAAATCATTTGAAAGTAAGTTGCAGACACCAGGATTCTTCACCCTTGACTACTTTGGCACATACTTCCTGAACAAAAGAGGAATATTTCACATACCACGGCAGTTTTCAAATTTAGGAAATTCAAAATTAATGCAATATTATTTTCTCATACCATCTACATTCAAATATTACAAATCATTTCAATACTGTTTATGATTTTTTTTTTGGGTTTTATTGTTCTATTTTCATACATGAATACAAAATATGTTCACCATAGTCACCCTCTATGGCTTCTTTTTATTATTATTAAACCCAGGGCCTCATGTTTGTTAGATATGCACCCTACCACTTGAGCCACACCTCCAGCCCACTTTTTTATTAAGTTTTCTTTGAGACAGAGTCTTGCAATGTAGGTCTGGCTGGCCTTGAACTCACCATCTTCCTGTCTCGGCCTCACAAGGATTACAGGTGTGAGCCGCTTATAATTCCTTAGTAATTTTCAACTGTAACGGAACTATGTACAGAATTTTCAGGCCCAAAGCAGCATTAACATACAGGGCCTCTTGTTCAAAAGTCAGGAAAGAATTTCCTCCAAAGCTACTACAACATGCAGCTTTTCCTTTTCTTCCTCAGGCTTTCAACTTGTCATCATAGTCTTTTTTTTGTTTTTGTTTTTTTCAGTGCTGGGAACGAACCCAGGGCCCTGTGCATGCTGGGAAAGTGCCTTCCACTGAGCTACTCCCCCAGCCCTGTCATAGTGGTTTTCAGTTGTTACTAAATGTCACTCTTTTGAACACTGGGATGCTTGTGGGATAAGTGCAGACTCTCAGGGGGGTGGGGCCCACAAGCAGCCCACCTGCTGTCAGTTTCCTCTTTCTGTCAGCTGCAGGATTTACATGCCTCACTCTGGTTGGGAGGATGGCTCAAGCTAGGAATTTGTTCCTCAAATGGGTCCTCTGACCCAAGGGTGTTGCAACTGCCACACCCAGAACAAGGTACCTGCACCAGTGGGGGAGAGCCTCACCTCTGCTCACTTGCCCACACAGATGCCATGGTGTTTTCAGTCCAGAGCATCCCATTATGCGCTGCTCTGGGAGGCCAAGCAATGAGTACCCAACCTGGCTCTCTTTGCCACAGATTCCTACAGTTACTTGGAATGAATGAGGACAGGGGTTGTGTAAGGCTGGGATAGGAAAATGGGCCATTAAGAACTTGTCTTTAGAAGGTGGGGCACCCCTGAGCCTAGCCAAGTCCAGGGTGCACGCTCTAGTGTTCCATCAGACTCCACTTACAGGATGCAAATTCAAAGATATTACGTCTTCACCAATCCAAGATGGCGATGACAAGCGTTAAAGTCCAAGTATGGGGTCCTTGTGAGCAAAGGACCTAGTGCACAAGGCATGCGTCAGAGCCTGCATTGTTATGTCTGCTCCTCTCTCTGTCATCATGGGATCATCACCGAGGGCAAGGAGGACACCTCCCACAATCCAGAGGCACCCTGTGTCTATTCCCAGCCAACCCCTCCTTGCACCCCAAGTCAGTATTCTGCTGTCACCGTGGATTAATCTTGCCTGTCTTTGAACTGCACATAACGGGAATCGCAGAACACATCTTATTTGTTTATCGCTGTGAACGTGATTCACCTACGGTTGAGTGTACCATGTACTACTTCCTCATGCTGTGTGGAAAGAAACCCATTGCGGGAGCGGTACGGCATCACCACGCACACATTCTACCCTTCTTGGGCACTCGTTTCTAGTTTTTATCTAATGTGCTGGAATTGTCCCTGACTTGGTCTGTGGTGGCGCACAGCTACATCACGTGTCCTTTTGATCACTTCCTATCACTTCCAACACTTTCTTCTTTTTTGGTTCAACAAGATGTTGTAGGTTTATCTTGCACCTCCCTGGCTGGGCCTGGGAATTGGCCGTTTCTCCAAGAAACCCTGGTTCCTTTGGGTAGTGGACGTATTCGAAACAAGTATCTGGGCACTGAGTATGCTCAGGGTTACAGCAATACCGCCGCAACGATTAGCAAATCTTTTAAGTTATCATGAATTTATGCCAAATACCCCCAGTCCCAACGCCATACTCCAGGGGTTTTTCCTCACCTCCTCCCTTTCTCCTCTTACATAACCAGAGCCCCCGCCTGAAACATCTTTCCACTGCTGGGTCCCTCCAGCCTTTGACGCGACGCCCTCCGCTGTTTCCCTACTTCCTCTTCATGTCTGGGTGCTGGCAATGGCCTCTGTTTGGAAATACGCCATCAGCTTCGAGTCGGGGTTAACAGCTGTTTCCTGCCTCTATGCTCCGCGCATACATGGCCCACGCTCCTGGGCGGGGAGTCATCCCTGGGGCCAGACTGCAGCACGAGAAATCTGCCCTGCTCTCCCCTCCTCCCGGGGGTGCGGAGGGGGGGTTAAGATCCCTTTTCCGCTGCGCCTTGGTGGGTGACACCGGCACTGCACTGTCCTCACCGCTGTGTTCCCCTAGCCCCGGGCGCACAGTAGGTGTTAATTATACCCGTGTCTGTTGAGTGACAAGGGTCTTTATCCATCCGTTGTAGCGTGCACAGAGGGGGCCTATAAATGCAGACTTCCGGGTCTTATCCCTGGTGGCCCGCACTCTGCAAGGCCACGCGTCCTTGTGCTCCCAGGGTCCTAGAAAGCAGGCTTTCCTCTCGGCTGTTTGCAAATGGCCTGGCCCTGGACAGTGGGGCGCAAGGCCAGCGCTCCCGCACGTGCGCACGGACTGGCCGCAGCTTAGGATCCCCTCTGCCCGGAGTGCACGCGGTCGCCGCAGACGGACGCGGGCGCGCGCGCACCAGGTGCGGGGAGGGAGGGCGCGGGCCGCGGCGCCATGACGTCACGCCCGCGCGGGCGGCCGGCGTGCGTCGGGCGCGGCCATGACGTCATGCCCGCGGAGCCCCCCCCTCCCCGCGCGCCGGCGCCGTGACGTCACGCCTGCGGAGCTGCGGCCGCCGGTGCGGGGGCGCGTGCGGGGCTGGCGCGGGGAGCGGGCCGGGCGGGCGGCGGCATGGCGGAGAGCGAGGCCGAGACCCCCAGCACCCCGGGGGAATTCGAGAGCAAGTACTTCGAGTTCCACGGCGTGCGGCTGCCGCCCTTCTGCCGCGGGAAGATGGAGGAGATCGCCAACTTCCCAGTGCGGCCCAGCGACGTGTGGATCGTCACCTATCCCAAGTCCGGTGAGCCCGCGCCGCCCGTCCGACCCGCCGTGTCCCCAGGCCGCGGGGCGGGGGTCGCGCAGGTGGGAAAACCCAGGCCCGGCGGCGCCTCGGCCGCGCAGCGTTCGGTGGGGATGAACGATGTTTGGTCCGGGGCCGCCACCCACACCTGCTTCCCTTCCCGTTACCTGCCTGGCTGTGTGACCTTGGGCAGGTCACTCAGCCTCTCTGTTCCTGAATCTGGTCCAGCTTTTGATGAATGCAAAGTCCCGGCGATCTTCCGGGAAAGCAGGGGTGGGGGGTCGGGGGGATAAAACCGGCTCATTTCTAGCATGGGCCCTGCTAGGGGATGGGACCCCGCCCTGGCCCAGTGCAGTGCCTGGAGTTCCCTGTTTCAGGGTTGCCTCTGTCATCCTGGCGGGCCCCCAGCACTGATATTTCCCAGTATTAACTGACGTCAACATTTGCAGCAGCCATGGAAGGTGCAGATGGTCATTGCCGCTTTATAGGCTAGGCACTAAGACTCAGAGAGGGGAGGTGGCTTGCCCAAGGTCACACAGCTGTGAGTGGCAGCCCTGAGATTGAAAGCCAAGCTTGGACTGTGTTCAACCTGGTGTAAGACATGAGTGTGTGGTGTCGCCTCTGGGGTCTGTAGGAAAGTCAGCGGCTTTCCCTGCGTCCCTTGTGCTCAGAGGGCTCCGTGTTGCCCCTGTGTTGGAGGGAGAGTCCAGGGGCACAGTCCATTTAGAAGGGGGCTGGAGCAGCGTGTGGGAAGGCTGTAGACTCCATGATCATACTGCGTGGGGTCCCAGACACAGGGAGGGCAGTGCAGGCAGCCCTCCAAGGGACGTGGGTAGAGTTCTGGTGGGAGGTGGGGGGAGCATGGAGGCACTGGGGCTGTTGGGCTTGGAGAACCAAGTCCAAGGGCAACCTGAAGTCCTGCTGGGTGGTCCTTGAGAAGAGGGATGGTGGGAGATGGGCTGGGGCTGGGGCTGGGCCAAGCCTCACACGCAAACCCTGGGTCCCACAGAGGGCCTCAGAGAAGTAGCCGTGTGCAGGGCAGGCGTGCTGTGTGGGGTTTTGGCTGTCCCTTGGGATGAGATACATTTGTGATATTTTTGCTACAAAGTGGGTGAATATTCACATGAAGCAGGGTAAAGAAAGATTAAAAATAGACTGGTGCTGGTTTAGGACAGGGTTTGCTTCAGAACGAATTGTGACAACTTGGTGTTTGGAGCTCTTAGCCTTGCGGACTGGCCAGGGAAGGCCAAGGCCCTTCCTCAGGGAGGAAGCGGACAGTGGGAGCCGTGTCAGGAAGGGGCTTGGAAGGCAGAGAGAGACAGGCCTGACTTTGGTATTTGTATTCCTGGAGGAGGAATTGGCCTGGAGGCCCAAATGTGAACTTGGGCCAGTGGAGGACATTAGAGGGACCCTGTGTTGGGGTCTGGGAGCTTCCTGGGCACCTGGGTGGGGTGGGTGGGTGTTAGTTTTAAGAAGTTTTCTAGATAACCAACAGTCATATCTTGTTTATAACTTGGCATCTTTCAAGGACCAACAGAAGCACTTCCTAGGCTTTTTAACCACAAGAGTGAACCTATAGGCTCCTTTCCAGGTATGGAGACCCTGGTGGTGGCCAAAGACCCTGTGGAGGTCCCTTCAGACCCCAGCCTGGAGAGCCACCTTTTTAAAGCCGAGGCAAATGCGCTTTCTGACAGGACCTTGACCTGGGACGATCTCTGTGACTCACTCACTCCCTCTCTTCCCGCTCTTTTACATGAAGGGCTGGACTACCTGAGAACCACCTTGTTAGAACTGCACCTTAGCCAGGACCCAACACCGGTAGTCATGAGGCAGCTCTGGCCTCTGTGGCCTACAAAACCCTCTGAACTGTCCCCATAGACAGTTCTCCCCAAAGGTGTGAGTAGGACAGGGCCAGACCTCCATCTCATGGTGGGGGAAACTGAGGCTCTGGGCGTTAGCAACTTTCCCAGACAGCCCTAGGCAGAGGCGACCTGCTGGAGGGCCTGGGGTTTTCCTGGGAGTGCAGGAGAACGGGGTGCACAGGGCTTGTGCAGGCTGGCATTTCTGATGCTTTCAGCTCTGCCCTCACCTTGGTCCTTTTCCATCCTCGTCCTTCCATGGACAGAGGCACGGGGAGAAGCTTCCTTAGGAGGGATGGTCACGCTAGCTGGCAGCCCTCACTCTTACCCGCTGCCTGTGCAGTTCTTGATGTGCAATGATCAGGGAGGCCAGGAGCTGGTCCCTGAAGACGTCTCTGCACTGGGGAGGGAAACCGTCTCCAGGGGTTGGAGTGACAGTGAGGACAGCTGTGGTCAGCCTCTGGGATCTGGCAAGGTGGTACCCTCTGGTCAGCCTGTGCCTCCATTTCCCCTGCAGGAAGTCCCCACTTGTGAATGAGGGCAGTGGTGGCTTGTGGGGTGCTGGCAGGTGTTCTCCCGTTTCAGCCACACCCAGTCCTTTTGCTTATACTTCCTTTTTCAGGTGGAGTCTTGAGCTTTTGCCAGTGTGGCTTGGGACCTTGATCCTCCTGTGTGGCTCCTGAGTAGCTAGGATTACAGGCATAAGCCACCATGCCTGGCCCTTCTTGTATGCAACTTTTAAAAAAGAGGCTCAGAGAAGGCAGGTTAGGAGCCACACAGTTGTTGAGGGACAGAGACCAGAGCTGGTCAGGTCTCCTGGCCCATGGCCAGCCTCTCTGCTGCCTCACAGATGCCTGCTGCCCTTGAAAAGTCACCGGGGCCACTGGGCGCCTGGCCCCCAGGAGGTGGGAGGAACATGTGTCCTAGCGCCAAAGTCTTAGGCTACCGAGGGCTTCCAAGGTTTTGTCACTGCTCCGAGTCTTCCCCAGGTGGACTTTGGGTAGCTTGTTCCCCTGTCTTTGTCTTTTTCTTCCTGCCCCTGCCCCTTTATCCCTCCTCACCTGGGGTGGATCTGTGGGAAGCACCAGTGCTGAGATGAAGAACCTGACTTTGCAGGAAGTCCTGGGTTTGAAGGCAGCATTGCGGCTCACTGGCTCGGTGACCCTGGCAGATGACAGACCCCTTGGAGCCATGGTTTCCCCAGAGGGAGGTGACATTACTGTACCACCCCGACACATAGCCTGGGAGTGAGCAGTCCTGTAGTCCACTCAAGCTGTGCCAGCCTGCCCTTCCTCATAGCTGCTGGGACAGTTGCTTTTCTAGGAGCTGGGAGATGGAGGCCCTGGACGACAGAGGTCCTGGCAGTTGGTGGCTGTGCCACGGAGACACACGGCTGGTGCTGGCATGAGGGAGAGTGGCCAGGCCCAACAGCTGTCCCTCCCATGGGAAGGCACCTTGGATTTCCAGTGTCCAGCTCTAGGAGGTCATAATCCCAGGGGTCACACCGAGAGCTGGGAGTGCCTTGCCCACTCACCACTGATGGGGAAGCTGGGCCTCTGGGGCTGGAGCTTCTGTGGGGCCAGTGGTGGGCATCAGGGCTTGGCCTTCTCTAGCGCTGCATGGCTGGTAGATTTGCTGTGTTTTTTGACACTTTAGCTCAGGTGACAGGTCAGGACTGCCCTGTCCCCTGAAGGTATCTCTCTCCACAGGGAGCCATGTGAGCATAATGAGTTAAAGTGAAGTAGAGCAGAAACCCCGGTGGCAGTTGCTAGCCAGCCACACATGGCTTCAGTCTTGGGTGTTGGCTGGTTGGGGTGGGACAGCCCCATCGGTGCCCGTGGTTCTATTGACCCAGATCCTGGGACCCCATTGTGCCTTCTGAGGAGGTTCTTTCCATGCACCTCTGTCCTCCGTCATGGTCCCTCACTCTCATTTTCATTCTTTTGGTCCCAGGACAGCTGTGGTGTCCAGTGGTGTCCCTGCACGTGGTTGCTCTGATGGCAGTCGCTGCCTTGACCTTGCTCACAGGTTGCTGCTAATCATTGCTAACGTCATGAGGGATCGGCTTCTTCAGAAGGGTCCTGGCCCGCCCTTCCTGAGCTGCCTTTCCCTCTGGCCCAGCCAGTCCTGAGGTGCCCAGATCTCTTCTCACTGATGGAGGCAGGAAGCCCATCGCTGCTGAGCGAGTGCTCCCTGCGCTGGAGCATCTGGGCCAGGTTTTTCCCATCACTGTGGGCTGCCTGGTCTCCTTGCACCTGTTTTCTCATGAAGCGTGAGGGCGTAGAACCGAGAGATTCATCTGGGTCTTGGAGGAGGCTTGCAGTGCACTGCCCCAGGCTACACACTGTCCTCTCTTTGTGTGGGTATCACAGTGCTGGGACAGGGCCTTCGGGAGCGTGGTGAATGATAGGCTGGGGAGGAGGAGGCTCAGGCTCAGCACGAAGGGGTCATTCAGGAGGACCAGGTGGGATGGCTGACCCTGACCTTGACCCTGACCCTAGCTGCCCTTCTCCACGTTTGCTCCCCAGCACCAATGACCCTTGTGGTCATTTCCTTTTTGGTTTCCTCATTTCCTGTTCCTCCTAGACAGCGACTCCACCCCCAATCATGCTAGGTTACTGGTTTCCATGGCTGCTTCTCCCTGGGAAGCACTCACATCTGTCTACACCTCCAGCTCTCCACCGTCTTGGGATTCTCCCTCCAACCCCTGGAGCATTGCAGTGGCCTCCCGTTTGTCTTTGACTCCATAGCTAAAGTGATCTTGGAATCCTAAGTCTGACTTGGTTCTCTGTGGCTCCCCATTGCCTTCAGGCAGCATTAAATTTCTTGGCCTGCCCCTCTGATTTGCATTTTACCTGTTCTACCTCTCTGCTCCCCGGCTTTCTGCAACTAGCTGAATGTGGTGTTATTTCTTGCTTCTGGGTCTTTGGTCCTTCTGTCTAGTGTGTTGCTTCCTCCCTCTCTTCTTTTCTCTTCACTTAGTGCTCTTGTTATCTGATGAGGACGTCCCATCTTCAGAACTTCACTGTGGTTAACCGTGGGACTGAGCCTCTTTAGGACTAAGCCTCCTTTCCGGGCCCCCCTGCAGTGCATGTCTTCTGGCTCGTGTAGTTCTGGACAACCCAGTTCACTCAGGATGAA